GAGTGAGGTCAGGACTCTGGCTCTGGCAGTGTAGCCGCAGGGGTCCAGCACTGCGTGAGACCACTGATGTCCTTTCTATCCTAGTGGATGGCAGAGCACCTCTGACACTATATGAGCTAGCCATCAGGGAGAATGTCCTAGCCAATTCAAGGTTGATTTCTCTATGCCCTGAATCCAAAGTGAGTGATATCTTCAGCAACAGAGTCTCACCATCACGTTATGGCGGGAAACCAAGAGCCAGGGCAGTAGCCTGTGATGTTTTGGGGCCTCTGGGGCTTCCCTGGGCTAATGACTCATAGGGAAGTGTCCTGTGTTTTGTACCGTGATTGTTACTGAGTAACTCATATCTTCTGGGAATTGTATTGTCCATCCATTTGGGGAAATACTATTCCAACTCTTTGAGGATGGGAAGATTGGAGAGAGGAGAGTGTAGGGGGTGGGTTTGCTAAGGTGAAGGAAACAGGAGAAGCTGTATGGAAATCCTCTTGTCTGTAAGCTAATTAGTTTGGGCTTTCTGAGCTGATTTGCAAACTCAGAAACATTGATGGGAGCATTTATACCACAGCAAAGGTCAGTGTTATTTGCTACACAGTGTGCAGCAAGTCAGGGTTACATGACATACAATGTGCATCAAGGCAGTGTCTCTTCACATCAGTCTATCACTCTGTTTAATAACACAGCACCCTTCCAGGACTATCTGTTTTTTGATTCATATCCATTTCTCATGGCTACAAATGAATTAAGTACATCCATGGACAAATTGCCCCTCTCCTGGTGTAAGGAGGAGATGTTATAATCTGCATAGTTATAGCTTAGAAATTCAAAAGCATTCATTTTGAAAGTTCTCAGGGTATTTTTCTTGGCTTTTAGACTTTACCCTGCAGGTTGTATGTAGCAAGGCCCTGACCAACTGACTCTAGAAGGAAAAGCACCAGCCCTGTCCAGCTTCCAGAGCATCCCTGACTCCTGGCTGAGACCCTGGGAGGAAGAATGGAAAGTGAGCAGGTTGAGGGCACAGAAGTCCACATAGGAATGTTGAAAGCAAAGGTTCATTAAAAAATAGAGCAACTCTACCGAAAGCCATAGGTCATTACGTGAAAATCACAGTGTCTGGTGTGGGATACCTCCCTATTGCTGTCAGTCAGAGAGGCCGCTGACAACCCCCAAATAACATAGGCTATTGATCCTGCTCTCCTGCCCCCCAGAACTAGACTGTAAGACCCCCTTGAAGGCATGCTGTGCTTTGGTCGCAGGACATAGAGAAATCAAACTGGAACTGAGCTAAAAGCTTCCTCCCTGCTGGCTAACTTTCATAGCGCCAGAAGATGCTGTGCAGGTTGGTAGGGGAGAAAAGTTCATCGACAGTTTTACCAGCAGTGGAACCTTGTGAGCTACAGCCATGGCTTGTTTGGCAAGATGGGCCCACTGTGCAATCGTGCTCCACAGGAAGACGCTCCCGTCTGGTACTGTAAACCTAGTCAAACCTGCGGAGGTCATAGGCCCCAGTGGGGAACCTGCTGCTATTGTTTTACTAAATGGACAGGATGTGGCCTGTCAAATTGCCTTCTAAATAATCATGTTTATGCCTAGAGCTTAGTGCTATGCCAGCTTTGGTCAGAGAAACTGGTCTTTGCAGTAGGCAGTGACTACCACAGAGGCTTGTCACTGGTCCAAGGGCCGAGAGTGACTGCTGCATGCTCTGCCCTAGATGGGACATGGATAGCTCCTGCTCTAAGGCTCAGGAAACACTATGGAGGAGGGGTAAGAAGAATGTGAGCGCCCAGGAAAGGGAGGAGAGCTACAAGATGCTGTCTTCCAGGTGCAACATGGCTGTTGTACCCTTGGATTCATAGCACCTATGGCCTACGTAGGCCCTACCCCTCCCTAAGGAACTCCTGACAGTCAGTGGTTGCTGGGGGAGGGGAGTCGTTTTCTTGGGCAGTGTAGCCAAGGTAAGTGAATTGCCCGAGCTTCAGTAAGTTGCATCCTGCTGATGCAAGCAAGCTAGTGAAAGCCAGTGGGTCACAGAAAACAGACAAGTCAGGAGGTGGGGTCAAGCTGGGAAGAAGGGGACCCGTGGAGTGAGAAACAGAGTGAATGATGTGATTATGATCCAAATACATTACACACATGTGTGAAAAATGCCACAATTGATATACACTGACAATAAAAAGAAGAAAAAGAAAGTAGTTCATGGAACCCCGAAAGGCTTGTGGGATATGAATAAGCCATGTGGACAGATTATATTATATAGCTCATGTGCCTCATTTACTGTTAAATCTAGAAATCTATATAGCACCATTCTTTACTAATGATTAAAAATTAATTTCAACAATAGTGGTTTAATAAGCACGTACATATTATAAATCATGATTTTTATCAAATTTATCCTCCTAGGACTGTGAGTTCAATATCAACCTGCACTACCTTCTGAGACCCTGTCTCAGAAAAACAAGGACTGAGATATGGCTCATCTGTACAGTGCTTATATATGCAAAGTTGTGGGTTTCATTCCCAGCACCAACCAAAACGTATACATACATGTGTACCCATGTGTGTGGTGTGTGTGTGTGTTGTTATGTGTGCATAGTGTATGTGTGTATATGTGTATGTGGTGTATGTGTGTATATATGTGTATGTATGTGTATATTTGTGCTTTATATGTGTGTATATGTGTGTGTATATATATGTGTGGTGTATGTGTGTATATATATGTGTGTGTATGTGTATATGTGTGTGTTTTATATGTGTGTATATGTGTGTGATGTATATATATATGTGTGTGTGTACATGTATGCATGTGCATTTTATGTGTAGGTGTGTATATATGTGTGTGTATGTGTGTATGTATATATGTGTGTGTATGTGTATGTATTTGTATGTGTGGTGCACATGTGTAATATGTGTGTATGTGTTTGTATGTGTGGTGCATGTGTGTAGTATATGTGTATATATGTGTGTATATGTGTAGGTGTGTGTATATGTGTGTCTATGTGTGTGTATATATATGTGTGTGTGTGCATCTGTATCCTCCCAATATTCTTTCCATTTGCATTTGGTTTTAGGGTGCTCATAATGCATTCTGCTACATAAGCCTCCCTTGAGCATCTGCCCATGTGCAGTTGTTCTATCTGAGTCTTAGAGCGCGTTTGTCTCCAGCAAAGTGTTCATGGTCAGCGCTGCACAGTGCTAACTCGCCCATCTCTGCCCTTACTTCTCCTTCCTTAGCAGTAACTTTTTGAGACCTTCAGAATTTATGAAGTACCGAGTGGAGTCGAACTCTGAGGAAAGACGGGGAAGGAACAAACAGTGAGAAAGCAAAGCAGGCGCTGGAGCTTTGCCCCACGGTTTAGAGCACCGGCTGCTCTTGCAGAGGACCTGAGTTTGGTGCTCAGCATCTACATCAGGTGACTTAGAGCAGCCGGTACCTCCAGCTCCGGGGGACCTGATGCCCTCTTCTGGCTTCTACAGGCAGTTGCATTCACATGTACATACCCGCCTCCCCATAGACACAGAAATAAAAGTAAACTAGAAATGTAAAAACAGTAAATTAAATCAGGTCACATAGATGCAAAATGGGAGGCAAATCCCCATACCCCAAGTTAGTGGCAAAATGTGACACCAACTCCAGGAAAATAGATTTTTATCTTGTACATGAGGAGCCTGTGTCAATGAATATTTTATACCAATTCATTTCTCTATTTGCTTGAGTACTGTATCAATGTGCAGTAAATGTTATTTCTCTGGCCTTTAAAGGCCTTGTTAGTCAGCAGGCAGGTTGGTGAGCTAGAAAGGAACACTTGAGAGCTGGAGAAGTCTGGCCTCTAAAATTGACTTGAGAGCTCTAACTCCGTGGCTTTGGAAAAGTAGCTTTTCCCTTTCTCTTATCACTGTCATTGTCGTATTAATCTTTGCTTTATGGCTATAGGAGTTCTGTATAAAGCCCCAAGTGTCATGTGTATCAGAGTAGGTACTCTACAAATAACAGTTACTGTTTTCCATGTGCTTAGAAATGTCTTAGCTGGAGGATGAGGAGGTAGCTCTCAGTTGCCAAACTTCCTGCTGCGCCAGCACAACAACCTGCTCTGCTGCCCAGATTCATGTAAAAAGAAAAGCCAGATATGGCGATGCACACCTGTAACCCCAGTGTTGGGGATGCAGAGACAAAAGGATCCTTGCGTCTCATGGACCAACCAGCCAATACTATTTGGTGAACTCTAGGCCAATGTCTCCAAAAAGAAAAGGCGGAAAGAGGTTGCAAAGCTAGTTTGTTTTTCTCTTGTTTCAACTCGAGCATTGTTTTCTTTATTCATGGTGGGTAAGTGAATCCAACGTTTTGCATATTGAAGTAGGAAGAACCATAAAATTCTGTATTGATAGTCAAAGTATAATACCTTACTCAAAGCCTCACTGCTTCAGAATGACCGTTTTAACTGCGTAGAAGCTCCGTAGAGTTGAGGACTGGGCAACTGTTTGGGGCTTCCTCAAACCAGCTCTGTGATGCTTTTATTTTTGAGTTGATTAAAGTCAAGTGATTTTATTTTAAAAAGATGGATGGGGGCTGGAAAGATGGCTTGGTGTTTAAGAGCACTGGTTGCTCTTGCAGAGGACCCTGGTTCAGTTCCTAACACATAATGGCGGCTTTGACTCCAGTTCCAGGGGATCTGATGCCCTGGCCTTCAAGGGCATTGCATACATGGGTCCACTTAGTTACATACATTCAGGCAAAGCATTCATACACATAAAATAAATTAAAAAAGTAATAATGTGGATAGCACCTGAGGAATGACAACCTAAGTTGACCTCTGACCTCCATACACATGCACACACACATGCATGTGCACTCGCTCACTCACAAGACATTAAATGTGAATAGTAAGGGCAGTGCACCCTGCCTTCAGGAGATGATGTGGGAGGTGACAAGTGTGAAGGGACATGGAGCTCCGGCAGGTCACCTGGTCCCATGCTTGATGAAGATGTCTCCCTCTGTCTCCACACAGAATGTCCCCCCGGACCTGTCCATCTGCACCTTCGTGCTGGAGCAGTCCCTCTCAGTGCGTGCTCTGCAGGAGATGCTGGCCAACACGGTGGAGAAGTCGGAAGGGGCAAGTACTCACTTTATGTAGCTTTGTAGTGTTTTAATGAGCAGTTGCTCTCACAGGTTTGTGGAACTTCCCTTGTGGTTCTGTGTGTGATTTCTGTAGGTTTGATTTTATCCAACAGATTTAGAATGTCACGTAAAAAAAAATCCCACCTCTGTTCACTTTGTGCGTATATCTGTTTTAAAGCTGTCTTTCTGTGGGCCCTTGTGTGTCTCCTCACACTCCCCAGCTACGATTGTTAGATGACTCGTTTTATGCCTGGCTATTTGTCGTTGGCCCTTAGACCATCTTTAAAAGCCTCTAACCAAGTGACACGTTCTAAGCATCTTTGTGGCTAATAAAATTTCATGGCATTGTTATGTATTTTAAATAATGAAATTGTGGTGCTACAGATTCAGTGAATTGAAATTTTGCAAACAGCAGATCATATTCTTCTGGAAATTGAATACCTATTCTGTCTTCTAATGGAGACATTTTTCTTTGAAAGCCTATTGGAGTATTTTAATAATTTTTTTCCAGGAGACTCATGATTGCTGCTTTCTGCCTATCACCTGCTCCCAACCAATTCATTAAAGTTTAGAGACAAGCAAGTGGATAATTGTCAATTATTTTGCACCTTTTTTTTGCCATTCCAATCACTGTGCTGTTTCGTACTCTATATTTCCAAGAATGCAACTAAAAATATTATTTTACCATTATTGACTATATATTATTGAACTTTTTTTACCAGTTCAGATAAATAAAACAATTAAAAAGTCATGTCCCCAGGTTCCATATAAATGAATCAATAAACTATGATATAACATTAATTTTTCAGCCTTAATGTTTTTAAACACACCTTAGGCCTTTAATTAGTTTGTTCATTAAGTTCTATCAAATATGTATGGAAGATAAATTTTAATGATTTTTTTATAAGACATTACACTGAAAAGTGTTTTGCCATACTCCAAATATGCTACATGTATTTTAATATTTAAAAATAATTTTTGGTTATTACAAAGTATAAAATGACAATCTTAACAGACATGGAGTTTCTTTTAAAACTTCTCTTTTGTAAATTTTTATTCTTTCTATTCTTTTAGGGTAGGTTTAAATTAAGAAAAGTAAAGTTCCTCAGTTCAAGTAGTGAATTTCTATCTAGAGTACCCTCTTCTGGCTTTTAAGTATCACAGAAGCATACCAACTTTGAAATGAGAATCTGTCTTTACAGGAAATTTTTTTTTGCTTTTGTTCTAAAAAAATGTGTATCACTAGTTTGCCCATATTCGCAGGGAGAAAAAAGCTCATCTCAATTGCCCTAAATTTAGTTTTTATATTGCAAACCTTCTTTATGTAAATTTAACAACTTTGGAAAGATCCTTTATCTCTCTTTAAATCATGAGGTTGAACTAGGCAAGCTCTAAATATCCCATGCACATAGGAAATTAGTTAAAATAGGATTGGGGGAATTTATTTATATTTTTAATATATTTATTGTCCTGGAATGAATTCCTGACTACCTTTCCTCCCATCTTGGTGACTTCCTTCCTTCTCTGGAGTCTTGGGAAATCCCATGCTCCCTTCCATCCCAATGGCTAGGTCTGCCACATGGAGTTTAGCATCTAAATGATGACCTCATCACATTAAAATACAGTAAATAATTCTATTTGCTTTTCTAGTCTAAAAATGTTTAATATTTTTGTTCAACTTTTGCTCTTGGTGTTGATGTTGTATTAGTTAAGTCACAAAAAATTTGACAAACATGTTTTGCTATAGACCTTTATTTTCAAAGATGGCATTGAATCTAAGCATCTATTACACATGAACACACACACACATGCGCACACACACACACCTAGTGAAGTGTTGCAAAACTGTGGAAAGAGCTTGCTTTGGAGAGCCCATGAACTGTACTGAAAATTCTTTTTGTTTAAATTTTATTATTTTTATTTTATGTATATGCATGTATTGCCTGCATGTAGGTAAGTGCACCCATGTTGTGCAATGTCCATGGAAGACAGAAGAGGCTGTCGGATCCCCTGGAACTGGAGTTACTGACAGTTGTTAGCTGCCATGTGGGTGCTGGGATTTGAACCGGGGTCTTCTGCAAAAACAACCAGTGTTCTTAACTGCTGAGCCCTCTCTCCAGACCCTGAAAATTCTTTTTAAAACAATATTTGTAGTATTAGCCATTTGCAGAGAGATATCTCTTTTGTTTGGCAACATAAGTATAAAACATGTTTGTATATCCCACTTAGGAACATAGATTTTTTTTTAGTGTATATTTTTATTGAGTTTTTATATATTTCATAATAGATCTTAATCAAATTTAGACCCCCTACCCCTCTACCTTTCCCACTGGATTTCATGCATTCTGTCATATATGTTAAGGCCTATCCAGTCAAGCATTTGTACCAATATCCCTGGGTGCAAGTTCATCTACTGAGGTCTATTCAACCTATCTAGAGTCACTCCCTTAGACAGTGATCAGTTGCCAATAGTTCCTCAGCTAATATTGGGGCCTCCTGCCACTTCCTCAGTTCTATGCTGGTTTCTGTCTGATTGAGTCAGCATGGGTCTTGTGCATGATGTCACCATTGCTGCAAGTTCATATGGGCAAGCTCCCAGAAGCCTCGTTTCTTTTTTTTTTCTAAACATGGTGTTGCCTATCCTTTGTTTTTTGCTTTAATATATTCTCTAGAACCCTGTCCCCTTTGACTTTGGTTTATGGGCATTTGACTGTTCTTTGGATTACTAAAGTACTGCAGTTTAATTCAGGAAGATAGAATGGAAATTAACCAGTGCTTGCCCACATGCCCTGCTTCTGGGTGGGGAAGTACACTGCAATTTGCATCATCTAGTCATTTTAATTTATGATACATGCATCAAAGTATGGATATTAGTAATGAATTATGAAGGATGCTTTTACAAATCAATAAAATTCACAATATGATAAGCTATTGTGAAGAAATCATGTTGAATTGACTCGAGTGAATTCAATTCCAGTCATTCATTTATTTAATGCCAACTTATTTAACATTTGTAAGATAACATATCATATAGGGGCTCTATGGCTCTAAATATGAACAGCTTGAGTTGTTCCATCAATGTTTATGATTGACTTGAAGGTTAGAAAAACACTTACAGAGTTACAATGAAGAATATATTAAGTGTATAGAATTTCTTTTTTTCTTTGAATTTTCTCTTAACTTTTAAACTTGGCCCCCAAACATTTAGAATTTATATGAAAACTATTAATAGAAGATCATTTTAGGCTTGTTCTCAGGAACAATTCTATCTCATCAGGCTATGCTTTAGGACTTAGGTAGACAATGCATGATATTTCCAGCAGTATTCTTTTTTTTTTTTCCTGACCTGAGGGTGAAAAAAATCTCATTCTGTATACCAGACCCTCATAGCAATCCTCCTGCCTTAGACTTCCAAGAGCTGGACTGTGGCTGTGAGCCACCATATCTGGTGCAGCGCTTACTAAAATGACTTGTTAATTTATATGAAACTATGGGAATATTTCTTATTTCTAAATAATACAGTGTCGTAAAAGGACAAAATGCTACAGTGGATTAATTGTTGATAGAGATATGTATCAGATTTGAATAAGTTCAGTATTTTCCATGAAAAGTGGGAGTTGCAAAGTATGAAATATTAATGCACATGTCAGTCTCTTCAAAATCTCTGTCTCCTCCTGTGCTGTCCTCTGAGACATTCAAAAGTGTATCATTGCTAACTAGATACATAAGTACATGAGGTTCATAAAAATAATTTTTTAATTGAAGCACCGTAAATGAGGTTTTATGAAAGTACATTTATCAAACACCAAGGCACCAATTTCTGACAAGTAATTACACTGAAGATGATTTTGTACATGTGCAAGTGCAAAAGATGGAGTCATGCAGCTGGGTGCTCCCCAGCCAAGAGCCCAGATTCCATCACACCGTAACTCCCTCCCCCCGTTCAGGTCCTGGTCAGGTAAAGTGAATCGTTTAACCTCCCTGTGCTACGATCTCCTTATTTATAAAGTGGGACAGAATAATAGCATTTCCCTTATGGAGCTGTGAGAGATACCAGTGACGTACATAGGACAAGGCCAGCATGGCTGGGGGAGGGGCACTCGGGGTATTTGTGTTTCATTTCCATGAGTTCTGCCTTGAGTAGGGCTGAACAGCTCCCTCCATAGCCACCTCCATCCCCAGAAGGCAGCTATAAGTTTTGGACCATATATAAAAACATATAAATTATTACCATCAATCCACCCACCACAGTAATACCGAAAGATTTTAGCTGTAGTTTCCTTTATTAAAACAAATGACCACCAATGATCTAAAACATTATGTTTATTATCTGTCTTACAGTTCTAGAACTCACAAATTTATTGCATCAGTCCCTATGCGCTGATAATAGAGATAGGTGTTGACAGGTATATGTTTTCTCCTTGCTATGACAAGACACCTCAGAGAAGCACCTTAGGGGAGGTTTATTTTGCCTCATAGTTTGAGGGTGCAGTCCATCATGGTGGGAAGGCATGATGGGAAGCGTGGGAGGCAGCTGCTCACATTGATTCCTAGTCAGGAAGCAGAGAGAGAGAGGAATGCTGGTGCCCATCTGACTTTCTCTGTTTTCTTCAGTCCAGGACCCCAGTCCATGAGATGGTGTAGATTGTATTCAGGGTGGGTCTTCCTTCTTCAGGTAAACTCTCTGTAAACCCTCTAACAGATGTAGCCAGACGTGTACTCCTAGGTGATTCCAAGTCCAATCAAGTGGGTGATGAATGTTAACCGTTACAGGGTCTGCGCTTAACCTAGGGCTCTGGAAAGAACCATCCTTGATGCTGCTTAGCCGCAGTCTCCTCTGGTGGTCCCTCCTTTGCCTCCAAAGCCAGCAGTGTACTGCCATGTGTCAAGGTTCCAGGAATCATTTGGCTGAGGGCCGCATGGAAGCTCGTTTGATGACACAGATGAGATCAGGTGACAGTCAGATAGCTTTGATCGAACAGGACTTAACACTTC